CCGCATCACAGCAATCACTCACTCTCGCGAATTATATTGGTGTGGCGGTGGGTGGCGGTGGGAGCAAGGTCACCTTGAGGTCGCGGTGGATGATGGGCGGATCCTGCCTGCCGAGGTAGTGCAGGCCCCTCGCTATCTGGAATGCAAAATCGACCACCTCCTTCGGCGTGAAGGGTTTGCCTGCACACGACGCACACGACACACAGCCAGCAAGACCTCTCGTTAGGACAGTGATGACTGACAAAGACGAGAAAGGCGTGATGCGTGCGGTGTGTGCGGGAGGTTACCCGTGGCGGCCCGGCTGGCGATCACCTGCCAGAGCGTCTCGGGGTAGATTTGGGTGAACATGCGGATCTCCTTCTTGTCTTCCCGATAATCGAAGGCCAGCAGTCGCACAACGTTCTCGTGTCGCAGCTGCGCCGTTATGCTATGTAGTTGCACCACACACGCAGCACACGCAGCAACACACGTAAGCACGGTGCTGGAAGATGATTCCAATTCCAATCGAAGAAGGCGAGGAGTGTACCTGATCTCGGAGAGCATGCGCTGGGTCTGCTCCTCGCTGGGGAAGGTACTGCTGTCCATGATCTTCGCAGCAAAGAACATGCCTGCACCCACCCAGGGACAACCACACGTTTGTACCATGAACCGTTGTGGCATTCTTCACACACACAACACACAACACACACAACACACACAACACAACACACAACACACACAACACACACACAACACACAACACAACACAACACAACACACAAGTTGTCTGTGGAGGAGTACCCTTGATGGAGCAGGCGTAGACGGTGGCGCCGCTGGCCCCTCGCCCCAGCTCTTCGTGGAATTCGATCTCGTCGTTCTTGAAGTCGATCGTGAGCACCTCGCTCGCCGGCAGGCCGTGGGTCGGGCTGTGCTGGCCCTCGCCCAGCCTCGTCACACGCTCGACCGGCAGCGACTCCGAGGGCAGCGTACTGCCCGACCCGCTCTTGTTCTGCCGCGCGGCCGCCGCCGCGGGCATGCTACCGGTGACCAGCGACTCGCCGCTCATGCCGAAGCCGACGGGGATCGACGACGACGAGGCGTAGCTCATCGCAATGGGCGACGTCTGCGCGCCGCCGGCAGCTGACGATGATGATGACGTCGACATCGACGACGACGAGGAGCCGGTGCGGAGGTGCGCGGGCTTCTTGCGGGAGAAGGAGGCGGTGGGCTGGAGCACGAAGACCAGGAGGCCGTCGTCTTCGAAGATGTCGACGTAGGAGTTCTTGAGGCCGGCCAGCGACGAGAAGCTGCCGTGGAGGGCCAGAGACGACGACATCGACACGCCGCCGGCGGCGGCCGCCATCAGGCCCACCATGTCCGAACTGGCGGTCAAGAGGTCGCCCAGCGGCCGCACAAAGTGCTCTTTCTCCAGCTTGATCAGGACAAAGTGGTGGCAAGTGTCTACGTGCAAGTGTGTACACCGATGCATATCGTCAGCATCGCCAACACCAACACTAGCTGAAGGAGGAGGCGGACGACGAGTACCGTTGACAATGAGATCGATGACGACATTGACTGTGATGGGCTCCATCATCTGCAGGCGCACCGTCAAGTCGTGCGACTTGCCCTGTAGTTTTCAAACGAGAAAAACGACAAACAAAGAAAAAGAAGAACAAACAGTGCGTTCAGAACGCCATTCAATCGGCGCACACTTACGCGTAGCGCGAGATAAGAAGGGGTGGCGCGTACGGGAGCCAGCACTTCGGGGACGGGATCGATCACAACGTTGAATCGCCTCTCCTTCTCGCGGTGGCAGATGGCGATGGCGAGCTTCAGCTCCTGCTTGCACTGGTTGGTGATCGTGAGCTTGTCGTCGTAGACGCCCGGCTGCCTCTCTCGATTGTTGAACTCGAGCGAAACCGCCGATATCTGGTTTCATTCCATCCGCAGAGTCGCACCTAGTGAGGTCATGCTCGTGTGTGCGCGCGCGAGAGAGGTGGGAGTATATACCCCCAGCTTGGGTGTGTAAGCGCTCGACCAGAAGAACCAGCCCAGCATGCCCGTCTTTTCGCCCGTGTAGCCTGTAAGCCACCAAACGCGAATCAATGGCGGAGTGAGAAAGAGCGAAGACGGAGAGAGGTGGGCGGTGGGCGGTGGGCGGTGGGCGGTGGGCGGTGGGCGGTGGGCGGTGGGCGGTGGGCGGTGGGCGGTGGGCGGTGGGCGGTGGGCGGTGGGCGGTGGGCGGTGGGCGGTGGGCGTGGCGTGGCGGTGGGCGGTGGGCGGTACGGCTCTGGTGGCACTGGTAGGCCATGTGGAGGGAGGGCATAACCCGCTCCTTGGGGCTGTGATAGGCATAGGACCGAATGGCCTTCACGTCCTCGGTCCCGACGCCCTTCATGCCGGCCATGACTCTGCCCAGGCAGGCGCCGCGGGGTACAACAGCGTTAGCGCAGAAGTGCGATGAATGGAGGGGGAAAGAGGGGAGGGGGTAGGGGTACCGAAGGAGTTGGGTGGCCCAGAAGTCTTCCAACACGATGGTGCAGCATTTGTTGCAGACCACCTTCTGCACGAGCACCTCGTCGAGGGCCTTGATGGCCAGCGGCGACTTCTGCTGCACCACCTTGCCGTGTCCCAGGGCACCGTGATTGTCCACGCCCCCTGTGTGTCGTGTCGTGTTGTTGGTCGTGTCGTGTCGTGTTGTTGGTCGTGTCGTGTCGTGTCGTGTCGCCATGGTGAGTGAGCAGACGCTGAAGCAGACGCCAGAGAGGTGGGGCGCGTGTACAGGTGTAGACCAATCCGGTGTCGGAGAGAGCGATCAAGTGATTCTGCCCGCAGGCAATTTGGATGATGTTCTTGTCGCTCAAGAATGACAGCGTCACCGCGTTGGACTCCAATACGTCGATGATGACGATCTCGCCCGTTTCTGAGTAATAATAATAAATCAATAGAAAAAAATAAGAATACAATGCCACGCACCGGGTGAGAATCTTCTTCGGAGCGAACAGCAATCGCCTGAGCGAGAGGGGGCATAGCGTACCCAGCAAAGTCACGAGGCTGTTGGAGTTGCAGGCGATCTGCCGCACCTTGGACGTGACGCTTTCCTTGTAGAGCTTACGTGCGCGGTATTGGTGCTTCTCCTCTTGATTCGTATTGCCCAGCACCTGGGAGGGGAAGAGCAATAATTAAAAAATGAGAAAAGGCGGCCTCGAGACTCGTCGAGCTTGATGCGCACCTGATTGTAGCGCGTCCAGGCGTACTGCGGTGCTTCCTCGGCCTTGTCCTGCAGCACTTGCGTGTATAGCTCTTTCGCTGTTATCATGATAACACAGAGAGGGGCGTGAGCAACACGCGCGCAGCGAAATAGTTTGTAGTGTCCGTAGCGTTGATGATGGTGGTGGTGACTATGATGAGGATGATGTACCGGTGATCATGGAGACAAAGTTTTTGGAGGAGCACAGATCTGTGACGACCATGTCCTCGGTGCCTCCGATCACCTTCGCGGCGAATGGTTCGACCAGGCTGCCCTTACAGCTCCACGCCCAATAGTACGGCCTGCCGATCACTGAGGGCACCACTAGTGTCAGGGCCTGAACGGCAAAGCGCTTAATCATGACAGTGTCTCGAGACGGGGTTTACTTACTCGAGACGGCGGCGATGTGGTTGCACGCCGTGCTGATGTTCTTGAACGTGATTCCGTTCAGCGAGCTCATCCTGACCAGCGTTGGGCACGCCAAGTCCTGCACCTGGCAATCGTCCGACACCGCGGCCTGGCCCCACACCAGTATCTCTCCGCGATCTACGCCGCGACACACACCAGCCGTGAGCTCATGAGCGCTCGGTCAAACACCGACGAAGAACGGGAGCGAACACGTACCGGTGAGCGCGACCGAGTGTCGTGGGCCGGTGGCGACCTTGGTGACGTGATGGTGGTAGATGCTCTGCACGAGCGTCGGGGCCATGATGTCCTCTAGGGAGCCGTGGCCCAGCTTGCCGAACCTGCCGCTGCCCCATGAGAACACGTGGCCTTCCTCTGCAGCGATGGTGAAGAAGGACCATCAACAAACCGTGTGCGGTGGTGCGTGTGTGCGGTGGTGCGAGTGGCACACGAAGGGCGTACTGGTGAGGGCGAGAAAGTGGGAGGAGCCGCAGCTGATGTCGACCACGGAGAGGTCCTTGAGGAGGAACGGTCGGTGGTGCGGCGTGCGGTTCCAGTCGCGGCCGAACATCCACGCCCGGCCCTCGCGCCCTAGCTTCAGCGCGTGAGCGGCGGCGGACTGTGACGACAGCGACGAGGTGGAGGACGACAGTGACGAGGAGGCCGATGACGAGGAAGAGGCCAATGACGACGCGCGCTCCACCAGTCGTATGTCGATGAAGAGGAGCGCACCGCCGCCACGAGGCAGGAACATGATCGACAGCGGCAGGCGCTCGTCGCTGGCCGTGGCGTCGGATCCTTCGCCACCGGTCGCGTCGGCGCCCTTGGCGTCCATCTCGAGCGGCACGTAGCGTGGCCTCATGTCGCGTGAGGATGAAGAAGATGACGAAGATGAAGAGGAAGAGGTAGGGCCAGCACAGCAGGGAACGGGAACGACCTCCTCTGCGTAGTCGTGCTCGATGCCGTCGGGAATCTCGACGCGCCATCGTTGGAGATCGATGCCCCCGTTGGTGTCGAGGGCATGGACGAGCTGGCGGGCGGTGATGTAGTCGAAGCTCGATTCGTTGATGGAGACCTCCCTCTGCAGAGGGATCACGGCCTTCACGATCCGCCGCTTTCGAGTTTCAGGATGGACGAATCGAATGCTCACCTCGACGTCAAGGCTCGGCAGTGAGATGCGGGGAGTGAGGACCAGAGGGTAGAGAGATGGACCGAGTGGGGTGGAGCTAACTGAGGAAGGGGCTGGAGGAGAAGGGTGTTGAGCGGGAAGCCCTCCACCGATGTTGGATACGAGCTGCAGGTTGTGGTTGAGCCGATCATTCTGCAATTGGTGGTGAATGTGCTGGTGTTGTTGAAAGCTATTGCGGTGTTCGACGAGAGCTGTCGTGAGGGCACTCGGCGAGAAGGGGAGGGATAATGTCTCGGCAGTGGTAGAGGAATGGGGAATGGGGATAGAATCTGAGACTTCATCTTCGCCATCCAAATTCTTCTCTAATTTAGCGAAAGGGGCCGTTTCGCTACTGCCGGTGCTCTCCACTCTTGTTCGCTTCTTTGGTGAGAAGGAGGCATCAGGGGGTTGGCCATGGGCCACATTCATAAGCTTGCGAATGTCCTCCTCAAGGGGCGAACGAGAAGAGCGATCGTTTGATCGGCGCGGCGATGACAGGGGCGAATTCGTCTTCGAATCTGGAGACCGAAGAGCAGATGCAGGAGGTGCCTCCACCGCTGCCTCCATCTCACCTTCCTCCTTCATCTCAGGCTGAGAGCACCGTCCCCCGGGCAGTTTGCTTCGCAGTTGGCCCACGCAATAAACGCTAGGCCTTCATTTATTAGCAACCCACGCCCGGAATGCACGCCGCGTGCGGTCATGTGTGACCACCACGGCGAACACAGCGGCGTCTTCTTCTTCTCATGTACATACAGTGGGGGTTTCGTCTTGAAGGCCGGCGGTAACGATTAGCAGCCGCCGAAGCAGCCAACGCAGGTTCGGGGCTGGGGCATGCCGCCCTTGGCCACCAGCAGCCTCTCCTCGAGGGTCTGGCCCAGCAGGTCCTTGCGCGTGATGATGCCCACGGGCTGGTTGTTCTCGTTCACCACCGGCAAGTGTCGCAAGCCCATCGACCTGTGTTCGACGTCGTGGTCGGGCGTCAGCTAGTGTAGTGAGCAACAGACTAGAGCTTAGGAGGAGAGCTGTTGATAACACGAACCTGAACAGGTTGTAGGTGAAGCCCAGGGAAAAGTTCTCGGTCACGGTCAGCGAGGAAGTGTTGATGTACGGCGACAGATCGATGTACTTGTCCATGTCCTCTTCTTGCACTGCAGCCCAGGTCATTGAAGTGAGCGCGACGAACAAGACACCCGTGTAGAGAAGGGGGGGGGATACCAGTCTCGAGATAGCGCGGAGATGTGATAGAGATGGGCGACTTGTGCGACGTATCCTCGTCCTGTGTGCGCCATGGAGTCAGTCAGTCGACGCAAAGCGTGTTTGTAGAAAGGAGGATAGAGGCGTTTACCTTCATCCTGCGATAGTCCAGCACAGGATTGATGTCGTACTCGTTTGCCACAAAGATCTCCGGATGTCGCAACAAAATCTCCAGCTGCGCGCGCAAAATCATCCTGTGCGCCAGAGAACATGCATAGCTCAGTGAGATGCAAGCACTGGATGCGGTTCTTTTCAGTCAGAGAGAGAGAGAGAGAAGGGTACCCCTTGAAAGCGGCGTGCTGCTTGTCGTCCTCATACTCGTCTTCTTCATAGCGACGCCTGTGCGGAGACCCCAGGCCTCCATCGAGCAGACCTCGTCCCCTCTGTCGCAACGCCAGAGCACCCTCCTGTTGCACACGCGTAAGACGCGGTAAGCTTCTGGCGCCGCTACAAAGGACAAAGCTTCAATGGAAGAGGGAATGTACGTTGCCCTCGAGGTCCAGCGTCTTCATGCGTACGCCGTCGGTGTCTTCGATCAGGTCGTCGATGGTCATGCTTCCGCTCAGCCCGAGGCTTAAGCCGCTCAGCCGCTCTCCGCGCCCATTGTTCACAAGGTGTCCGTCGTCTTCTTTCTCTTTCTGCTTGATATTCACCTCGATCTCGGTCATGTCGAATCCTTCGAGCTGCGAGTCCACACGGCGCGGAGGAGCAAAGGCCGATGACGGCGAGGCCATGGGCGATGAAGGGGTCAGGCGATGCGTGCGCGCCAGCTTCTCCTGATGTCCCTGCTTCCGTATTCTAAAGCGCGCCAAATAGGAGTTAAAAAGAGATTCAAAAGAAAAAAACGTGCGACGCAAGGTTGATGCTTGAGGGCTACGCACTTGTTTCTGCTGTCGAGCATCACCTTGTCCTTGGGCGTGAGGACGACCGGGAAGGCGTGGTGCCGGCAGGAGATCAGGGTCTGCACGATGTTGCGGACCTTCTCTTTGTGGCGGAAGGTGGTGACCGGCGCAGACATCACGTCCTTCGCCTTGAAGGTATCCACACCTTTTGGTTCAAAGAAAAACAGGAAACGTGAGTGACAAGGACAAGCACCACTGTAAGCAACTGATAGTACTGAAGCCTTGGAACTAACACGTACCGCGAACGACCGGGTCGTTTTCCAAGAACGGCACGCACCTCACTTCGAGCAGCGCGTGATAAAGCGAGTGCGTGGCGGTGTCGGCGATGGACTTGGCGATCATTACGGCGAGCATGATGGGTAAGAGAAAATGAATGTCGTTGGACAGCTCGGTGACGATGACGGCGAGGGCTATCGTTAGCCGCGACACGCCTGCAAAGAAGGAGGCTGCCCCTATGAGCGCGAACACGCCTGGGTCCATCCAACTGGCGGAGATGCCCAGATAGTCTATCGTCGCCAGACCTGAGCGAACAGTGAGCGGCGCCGTGTCAGTTTCACACGACCACACGTTTTGTAGACCTAGAAACGAGAAGAGCCAAAAACAGAGGGCTGTGCGAACTGACCTACTATGCGTCCGAGTGTCGCCCCGATTACGAGCATGGGCAGGACGATGCCGCTCGAAATGGCCATGCCTGCCGTGTGCGTGCACGTGGAGACACCATGGTCAGTACGCGTTTGCTTACGGCCATGGTGATCGAAGAAGGGGTAGTGACGGTGCAAGCGTACCAGAGGAGTAGCACGCGAAGAAGAAGTAGATGACCAGGAAGACGGCCAGCGACGAATAAGAGAAGCGATAGGCCGTGCCGCGCGAGAACAGGTGGCGAATGGCCTCGTCACCCACGTTGAACATCAGCTGTGTGAGGGAGTACGATTACACCGCCCGGGAGTCAGCAAGCGCGTCGAAGAGGCCGTGTCCGTGCATGAAGAGGGGGGGGGAGGAAGGAATACCGTAGCGAGCGGACTGTACTCGCCTTCGTTGTCACACGCATGCTTCACGAGCCGGTATTTGTCGCTGTCGATGGGGTTCTCGGGTTTGGGCAGACAGGGGAAGGCCAGAGGAAGGAAGAGGCACAGCGACGAAAAGATGGCCACGACGATGCACGGTTCTGCCAACATCGTATCACACAGTGTTGGTCGTCAGTACGGCCATGGCGGGTGTGAGTGATCACATTGTGATGTCTGAAGGCCAAGAAAAGGTTTACCCAGCAGCCTCATCAGCTTGTAAGGAACGAAGAAGCGATTCCTGAAGCGAGTGATCTTCAAGTTGAGGTACGTGAACACAGTGCCCATGACGCCTCCGCATATGCCGATAACGATGGAGGGGACCGTACATCACACGAAATAAGCAAAAAGAAAGAGGAGGGGGTCGACGCTTGGGCGATCGCGGGTTTGCGGCATACCATGGTGAAGATGTGCATCTCGATGTACTGATTGACGGGGAACAAGATGGTTGACTCCTCGATGAAGTAGCCAAAGCGTCCCTAATCAAACGTTATAACGATAAGTAACTTCGTAGGCACTTCTTTAGGGAGGAAGGCAAAGAAGAAAAAAAGGGAAGGGGGGGTGAGTATACCGTGGGCACCCAAGCGATAAAGGAAGAGTTCAACAGTGACGCAGCGAACGAGGCCATCAGGCAACCGACGAAGATCATGTACGTAAGCTTGTGGTTCCAGAAGGACGCCACCTCCTCTCTCACGAACAACAGACCACTGCAGAGAGCAGCGCGTCAGACAATGAACGGCCAGTGGGGCGGTGGCGATGGAACATACCCGATGGGAGCTCCGAATGCAGCAGACACGCCAGCAGCAGCGCCGCCGGTGATGAAGTCACGGCGGTCTTGCGTATTGCGGAAGCGCGTCAGGAAGGAAGGGTTCCAGTTCAGCGTGCGCGAGCGGCCTTGTGTCAGGTTGCCTCCCACCATGGCGCCCATGTGAATCATGGGTCCCTCGGGTCCTAGGTTTTCGGAGAGAGCGGTTTAGGCCATTGGGCTCGGAGCCGATTGCAGTCAGGCATAGAGATGCAGAGAGAGGGAGAGAGGAAGGGGAATGCATGTACCCACGGGTAAGCCGGAAGATATGGCGAGCACGCAAGAAGTAAACTTGACCACCAGCGTGCGGACGTTGAAGATTTTTGGTAAATTGACGCCGTTCAGGTACCCCATCACGTCCGGAATGCCCGACCCTCCTGCTGGTGGCTGTGGCAGAGCCCATTCAGATCTTATATCCCACCACACAAGAACGAGTGCCACGAGAGAAGAGAGCTCAGCTGCGGACTACGTCGTACCTGCCAGTACACCACGAGGGCGCTGGCGCATAATACGGTTATGAGGCTGTAGCCCACAAAGGCCAACCAAGCCAGCGGATAGACCAGGGCCTTGTTGAGGTCGTCCTGGGTGTCAAGAATAAGCTCTGTCGCGTCGAGAGAAGAATGGGTCCGGTTGTGTGTGAGGCAAACACATCCAAGAGACTCTCTGTCGCCCGCGAAGGAGAGAAGGGCCGGAGGGGGAGAGAGTGTTCTGTACCGGTGACTTTGAAGTGACCCTCGGCGATGAGTTCGGTGGTCTGCTTGAGGAGGAATGCCACGAAGCCCACGGCAGCTCCCACCACGCAGAAGAGGAGCCACTTGGAGAGGTCCTTGCGTATGTACCACCACTTGGTCTTTTGCTGCAGGTACTTGCGGTAGATCTGCGAGTGGGGAACGTTGTAGTCCAAGCTCTCGTACTCGTTCATCCGCTCCTTCTCGGAGAACGTGAAGTGGTGAGCTGCGTGGCCTGGTCGCAGATCGCGATCGCCCTCTTCCGATGGACCCGGGCAGAAACGCTTGCGCAGGCCTCTCTGCATGCTGGAGAAGATGCCGCCACCGCCGTCGCCTTCCCCGCCTCTTGATCGCCTTAGTGATCGCTCGCTGCTTCCCCGCAACCTTTCTTCATCAAGCAGCGAATCGTGGAATTCATCTTCCTCCTCCGCTCTCATTCTCGTGAGGTAACTGCCGCGATGACCGTAGGCACTGCTCAACTCCTCCAATTCAACCTCGGGCTGGGCCAGTCCCTCGTTCCTTCCTCGTGCCCCCGTCTCGTGGCCGAAAAAGAATGACGTCGTGGAGAGCCGGGTCGGGGGCTGCAGATCGAAACGCAACCACAAACGAGACGTTAACGTCTGGCTCCTATGTCCCTTCTGTATTATACGCGTCGATGTTGTGAGGCTATCGGCACCACGCGTGCTGCATCCAAAGGCCCAATCGTCGCGGAAGATGGTGCGCAAGTCTGACGGAAGATCTGTGCCTCTACTTTTCGGTTGCTTTCCCTTTGCCTCAATGAAATTTCGAGGCTGACGTCACATATTCTGAATGCCAGCGTGAGACGGGTTATTTCCTGAATGACAAAACGAGGAAACCTCCCGCAGTTCCCACGAGCCGTAGGTCTTAAGGTGGCAGGTGACGTGGACGGGTTGATCCGAAAAGGCCAAAAAAAGAGAGTCAATCTTGTGCATCTCACAGGCTGTGCATGCAGTGCTTCTCCTGTCGAAAGGACATCCCTTTGGGCTCCAGCTGCTGGCCCATAACAAATCGCACGCATTTTCGCATCTCCAGCCCCCCGACGGTCTGCGATGACTGCTTCAAGTGTAGCGTCTGCCGGGCGCAGCTGACTTTGGATCGATACGGCGCGGTGGGGAACGTCCTCTACTGCGTGGAGCATGAACCTCCAGGCGCGAATGGTACCAGTTCCTCAACGCCTTCGGTTGCATCTTCATCCACAGTCCCCACTCCATTCTCCTTCTCTCCATCATCGACAACTCCATTCGCCTCCATCTCGCCGATATCCTCGCCTTCTTTTCTCCCTTCTCCTCCCTTCTCCTCCCCTCCTCCCTCCGGCGCTGTGTCTCCCACGCGAACCAGCCCTCGGCGGACCACCACCCACACGCGGCCGCGAGAGAGCTCAGTCCGTGGGGCCGCCGAGGCGCCCAACTGGCTCGCCCCGACGCCCACCGCTCTCGGCGGCAGCACCACAAGCAGCGCCAACGGCACCAGCGCCGCCACGTCATCTACACCACCATCCAATTCCTCCACCTCTTCCTCCTCGAATGTCTTCACGCTCCCCGCCTTCACGCCGGGCGCTGCCGGTGGCGATTACCAGCACGGCCGCAGCTTCCTGATGGCCTCTGCGCCGTCCCACCGCAGGAACACCGGCACCGCCCTTAGGGGTCGAACAGCGAGGCAGACCCTGGTGCCGAACGCCGCCGCGAACAAACCACACGCCACTAACGGCGGCTTTTCCTCGTCTCCCTTCCAATTACTCTCGCTCGCCGGCGTGTACACGCCCGCCGCCGCACCACCAGCGAGCTCCGCCTCGAACAGCTCCTCTATGACATCCCTGTCGGCCGCAGCAGCGAGTCCATCGACGTCGCCCGGGCCGCTTAGGCGCAGCGACGAACCATCCACCTTCTCCAGACTGTCACCCTCTTCAACAGAGCAGGCCCCGGCGTGGCTGACGCCCGCCTCGTTGAGCGCGCTTGCACCATCAGCCCCTCGATCGACCTGGCCGCCACCCACGCGCGCTCGTCCGTCCGACCCTGTTCGGGTGGAGCAGACTGAGAGACAGTCTCCCGAAGGTACGCCTTTATCGCACTCTCAGCCGTGGCTGATTGAAAGAAAGCTGACCGGTGTACTCTCATCGACGATGTGTGCGTAATGCAGGTGTGGTCACCGTCAACACTGACAGCGAACCGAACTCCTTGGTGGACAAGCGGAAGAGGCGAACGCCGAAGCGCAGCACACACAGCCGCAACGCCAGCGGCATGGCCATAACAGCCACTCCGGACGACGCGAGCGGTGGCCTGGAAACGTGCGTTAGGCTAAGAGCTGGGCTGAGCTGCGTGGCTGCGGCGTCGGTGCAGTGTCTAGTCTCACCATAACCGTATGCTGCGTGGTGAGTGCAGGCGGTTAAAGCAGCTTGCCGCGCAGCTCGAGATGGTGCGCCTGGAGAAAGCGGAAGAGAGGGAAGATGTGGGCGGCGAGGCAGCCAAGCCACACACCGTGGTGCGCTCCGCTCTCTACAACCACTTTCTTGGACGCTGGCTCACGCGTAACGTGTCGTGTCGTGTGTCGTGTGTGTTTAGGACGAGGAGGTCGCACTGTTGCGAGCCCGTCTCACAGCCGCCACACGAAAGGCCGACCAAGCAGAAGCCCGCGCCGACCAAGCCGAGGAGAGGGCCGCTCGCTACAAGGCCCACGCCGAGATGATGCAGCAGGTGGTCGACAACACCCTCAAGGCCCTGCACAATGTCGAGGCAGAGACGAGGAAGGTGAGCAAGCTGCAGCGCAAGCTGGCCAGCGCGAAGGAGGAGCGAGCAGAGATGGCGGCCCAGGTCGAGGAGTACCGAGAGCAAGCCGAGCACTTGAGAAAGCGCGACGAGGAGCGCGCCAAGGAGCTCAACAAGTTCAAGGGCAATTTCTCCCCAAGGGACTACACGGTTGAGGAGCTCATCCATCTCGAGGGCACTCTCGAAGAAGGTACGTCATCGCCTTGTGTGCGTCATCGCTCTGCTCACGCTCGCTCCACCCGTACGTAGGCAAAAAGAAGGTGAGCGAGGTGCGCGTGGCCCTGCAGTTGAGCGCCGAAGAGAAGAAGAAAAAGGAGTGCGTGCTGTGCTTCGACGAGCAGAAGGACACCGTCTTCATCCCGTGCGGACACCTGGCCTGCTGTCGCTCGTTCGTCCCCCCTCTCCTGCGCGGCCTATTGCGCACTTCTCAAAGCTCATCGCGCGCTTCGTTTGCACACAGGTGCTCCAAGCAGGTTTCCAAGTGTCCCATCTGCCGGAAGGCCATCACCCACACGGTGCCCGTCTACGACTGCTGATTGCTGCTGTACGCATAGGCGCGCGCGGTCCTCATCATCCCTCTACCAATACACCACCCACATCACACACTGGAAAAGTGGTCCACTTGTTGTTGTTGTTGTTGTTGCTCTCAGATGGCACCATCAAACCGCTGGGTGCTTAGGGCAACTGCATGCTGGCGAGGGCGGCGTGGACCGCGGCGAGGCCGCTGGCGTGGGGTTCCGCCTCGAGGCTCTCGGGCAGAGACGAGCGCTTGGCCGCCACCGACGCCGCCACCGCGTGGACGCGTCCCTCCTCCTGCTGCTCGTGCGGCTGGCGGGCCGTGGTGCTGCACGCCTTGGGCGTCTGGAAGTCGCTCGACGACGCGCCGGCGGTGAAGCTCGAGTAGTCGATCTGGACGCCCACGCCGTAGGTCTCGAGGAAGAGGCGCACCGGCGTCTGTCGCGCGTTGTCGGTGACGTAGATGGCGACGCGCACGTCCCTGTTGGCGTTCTCGAAGAGCCACACCTGCGTTTGTACGTTGTTCACCCGCACCGCCCCCGCGAAAGATGTGTAACGAATCATCTGTAGCGGGTCGGCCCCCTGGTAGGTGTTGCTCAGGGGCTTCTTGGAGCACGAGCGCGCGGTCCACACGTAGGAGATGTGCTGCTGGTAGAGATTGAGGGTGGTAGCGCTGACGCCGTAGATGATGCCCGACTGCTTGTAGGCCTGGAGCGCCTGGCTCACGGCGAGGAGGCCGTTGGTGGTGGTGAGGTTGAAGTCCGACGTGAACACCAGGAGGTTGGAGAAGGTGGCCCGGTAGGCCGACGGGAACGACGGCCTGGACGGAGCCGCAGCCACAACCGTAAGCGCCAAAGCCGCCACCACCGCACAGTAGAGAAGTGCCGCCCGCATGCTTGTTGTGTCTTCTGTACTGTTGGTGCAACGAAAAAAAAAGTGGATACGTGCAACCCCCTCGGCAATTAAAGCCCGGAGTTGTGCTCACCTTTTATCTGATTCGTCAAACTTATGTCTCGCCCCACTTGTTCGCCCACTTTTTCGGTCGGGTTCAGCGAAACCGAAATCTGTATTGGCTACCACCCCCACCATCTCCTAGAAATCACTGTTGTGGGGCGCTGTGGGGAGGCCCAAAAAGAGCTCGCTGCCTGGTCCTGCCGGCTTAGTGCTGGGCCTTGCCGCCGGTGCCGCCGGTCTGGGTCTGGATGTGGGTGCGGAGCTGCCAGGCCCACTGCATGTGGCACCGCTCCACCTCGAGGATGAGGTCTTCGATCGCCTTCACCCCCAGGTCCTTGACCCTCTCCCTGTGGCGTCAACATCATCTTCATCGTCAGCGAAGTTGAACGGCTCAATCACAACAACTTCAGCATACCTGTCCTTGCAGAGGTTCTGCACGATGGTCTCGTGGTTGTTCAGCAGGTTGGTGATCATCGTGTTGCAGTCCGGCCATTCGCCCTCCTACAAGAAAGATATAAAATGCACCAATGGTGAACCTCTGGGATAGGTGTGTAGGTCATTGGGTGGAGGGGGGGCAAGTGAGGGCGTACCTTGGGCACGTCGATCCTGGTGAAGCGGAGCTTCTCCGACAGGTTGGGCACCTTGTAGCCCAGCCCGCGGATGTGGCGGGCGATCTTGTCGGCCAGGACTTCCTGCTCCTTGAACTGGGTCTTGAACAGGTCGATGAACATGGCGGCCCTCGGGTCCACCACGTTGTAGGCGTAGTTGGTCGTACGCAGAGCCAAGATCACCTATGTACCAAAGTGAGCACAGAGCTTTGGGTGCAGAAGAAGAAGAAGAGGAAAGTTGCGAGTCGTGGTACCTCGTCAGAGATGGCGGTGTTGAGGACGAAGGCGGTCTCGGAGAGCACTTTCTCGTTGAGGCCGATGTTGGGCACGACGGGCTCCCTCTGCACTTGCACTTGGGCCATGTTGTTGAAGAAGAGTAGTTGGGTGGAAGTTGATGGTGCCTTTGTTGGAGAAGGTGAAGATTGGAGAAGAGCGTGGCCCAGTCTTTTATACACTGCCAGCGCCCAACGTCGTACAGCGGCCGCCGAGATGTCGCGGAGCCGCTGATGACGCGCTGTGTGGCGCTTCATTCATGACCCACCGAAGGCGCTGGGTTGCACTGAAGGAAGTGGCCAAGGAGGGCACTTAGGCCTTAAGTGCCTGCCTTGAGATGCGCAGTTGGTTGCTGAACAGGCGTCGACCAGTAGAATTTCAAACTTAGCCACGTTGTTATAAGACTCGACGCCAATTCGTCCAATTTTTGAGGGCGTGTCTTGGGCGCCCAGGACACTTGCTGAACGGCCCAGCACAGGGTGGTACTCAACGCTCAGGCGCCGAACGTGCGTTGCCGAGTAGTTGCACTTTAGCTGTCTCCTCTGCGATTACAGGGTGAGAATTCAACTGGGCTGTGACCCGCCAGCAGATAAAAGACCGTTCCCTCCATCTGTTCTTCTCTTCTTCACCCCTTGCGGTATAGAAACACAACCACACTAAGCTTCATCAACATGGCCACCCAAGTTCAGGTCCAAGTCCAGCACGAACCCATCGAGTCCAAGATCGGGATTCCCGCGAAGAGCCTCCACCCCACGGCTGAGATCATGGCCAGGCTCTCCTCCGACCAGGTACCCACTCCTTCACCTTCACCTTCACCTTCCTCAACATCCGCTTCATTCTTTTCATTCTCATCACGAAACTCATACACTGTTGAACAGACCTGCTTGTACCTGCACACGTTCAACTACTACCTGAACGTGGTGGGTCCCCGCAGCCAGATGCTGAGCGACCTGTTCCAGAAGCAGGCGCTCGAGATCGGCGTCATCGTGGACAAGGTGGGCAGGCACATGCGCTCGCTGGGCTACAAGGTGCCCATCCTCACCGAGATCGTCCGCTACAACCGCCTCCAAAATCCTCCCGTACGCCCCCAACCCTTCATCATCGCTACCACCATTACCACCATCATATGACCTCCTCCATCTTCTACTTCTTCCATGATCAAAGGAGGGATCGTGGCCCGACGAGAACGGCATGCTGGAGGTGCTCATGATCAACCACGAGAACATCATCCGCCACATCTGCAACGAGAGGTGCGTGAGTCCTTTGCATGCATGGAGGGAGAGAAAGACGTGCGGCTAACACAACACGACACACGACCGACACGACACGCAACACGACACACAGGAAGCAGGTGTCGGACCTGGGCGTAAAGACGATCGAGGACCTCCTGCTCGAGGTGGAGCGGTGCCACATGCAGTGGGCCTGGCAGCTGCGCATCCACATGCAGACCCTCGGCCAAGGCAAGTAGAGTTCGCACGCACGCGCGCGCTCCCGCCCGCCCCACACCACCACACATCTCTCGACGGCGCTGACGCGGATCGCAAAGGAGAAGAACACGAGAAAGAGAGAAGAGAGAAGAGAGGGGGGGAACAGACAAAAAGAACGAAGAGAAGGAAGAAGAGCGAAACAAGAAATAAACAGTCGCGTACTTTTATTTCTTTTGTTGAGCACCTCAGAGGGCCTGTTGGAGGTGTGCGTACTCGTAGGCGTAGCCGTCGGCCAGCCTGCCGCAACTTTGCGGGCACGCAAAGACCACCAGGCACCCAAACTCGAGTTGCACGTCGGCCTCCGGCGCCACCTCGCCCACCTCGAGCTCCTGAGCCGACCGCAGCAGGTAGATCAGCGTCGGCATCACCTCGCACTCGAACACCCTGCGCAAGCACATTCCGGCGTACGCGTCGTGTCAGAACGAGACGCAGCACATACCCATATGAAAGTCGACTGTTTCTAGACTAGAGAGTTAACAGTCGTGTACCGCTCGGCTCCGCAGCGATCGCAGCAGGGCACGGTTTGGGGGAAGTCCTTGGACATCCACAACGGCCGGCCCGAGTACGAGTACCTGATCGCCATAGATACACGAACATGTATGATCAGGTTCGTGTGTCGTGTGTGTCGTGTGTCGTGTGTGTCGTGTTGCGAACCTGAAGACGTGTTCGGGATTCCGCTCTAGATACTCCTGGAACTTGAGGAGGTACTTCTCCTCGCTCTCCTCATAGTCCTCGTTGCCCAGCATGGCGCCCTCGTCGATGCCGCCTTGCGCCTGCTTGCCCTTCCCTTTGCCTTCCCTTGCCTCTTCGGTCGTCGCCGCCGCATCGCTCCATGTTCTCCTCGTCCTCCATCGCGCCCGTGAGCTCTTTGCTCCACTGCGCGGCGAGCTTCTTCTCCTTCTTGCCGACGACGGATCGTGGCACCTCCTCCTCCACCTCCATGTAGAACCCGTAGAACCCATGGCCTCGTGGTAGCGCCTGCTGCGTCTTCTCTGTCGCTGACAACAGTTCACGTCGTCATTAGTCAACGCAATTCATTGGTCAACGCGTTGACTGGTCTGGCTAGGGGTGCGCACCTGCGGGCTTGGACTTGGTGGGCGTGCTGGTGGAGGAGCTCGACGGTCTGCTCTCGGTCTGGTCGGATATGGTGAGCGCGGACTGGAGCAGCTTCTCGAGGTCCTTGTCGTCGGTCTGCTTGAGCCAATCGTCGCCGGCGCCCCAGTCATCGCCACCTGCGCCCCAGTCGTCGCCGCCTCCTGCGCCCTCGGTTGAGGCCGTGGCCGTCTCTGCAGCTTTGGTCGGCTCCGCCTGCTCCTCCACGCTGCAGGGGCTCTGGCCTCGGAGCACTCGCCAACTGAGAGAGAGAGAGATAGAGAGAGTGAGTAAGGAGAGTTGATAAGGGGTAATGAGCGTTGCACGTTCTTCTGTTCTGCACGCATGAGGAGGAGAAGAGAGGTACCACTTCGCAGGACCGCTGCGCTCGCTGTTGCATTGTTCACTATTGCAAGCAAAGATGTACAACTGTGAGGCGCACACAGGGCAGTGAGTCGTGAGCTGAGCCCGTCTAAGGAGAAGGCGAGGGCTCAGTAGTGGCGGTACGGTACCGCTCGGTCGAGGTCGGGCAGGTGAGGCAGAGGCGCGTAGGCCTGCGCCACGAGATGCATGAGCTTGCTGCACTGCCCGCAGCGGTAGTAGGACTCTGGTGGCGGCGTGCCAATCCAGAACTGGGCGCGATGCAATTAAATCGCGATTAGAGGCTCATATCGCAGAGATTGAAGGAATCAAAACACGAGCGCCACAGATGGATGGTTCAGGATGCAGCATCAGCATAGATTGCGCAAGAGGCCGTACGGGCTGGCCTCCGATTTTGCTGGACCATATGTTGTCCTCTTCGGCACGCTGGCCAATGTAGCCCAGGATGACCGGCTTCTTCGGGGGCTTTTGCCCTGCACCCGCTCCTCCTCGCGCAGGCGACCGCACAACCTCCACCTTGTTCATCTGCATCCCGGTCCGTCTTCTTGAGCTGCAGAAAAATTCACCAAGAAAACACTTTTCTTCCCCCTTTTCCCTTTGCTGACCGCTGTCCGCAGGGCGTAGACTCTCAGACTCAACCATATCGACGATACGTGATGATCACGTCATGTGGACACCTTTGCCCAAGGTAATGCACCCGAGCTTTAGTGGGAGTCACTATTTCTGTCGACAGCCAACACGTCCGCAGGGTTGTGTGCGTGTTGTGTGTTCAAGGAACGCAGTTCTTGTTGGTCTCTTTTATTTTGGCCGTGTTGTGCAGTTGTGAGAGTGTAAACAAGACAAGCCAACAACCAAACAGACTTAGACCACAGAGCGCAGCATGGACAAGAGAGGAGGAATCGCATCGCCATCGTTCACGTCGCCGGTAACGTCGCCACCGACCTCACCACGAGGAGGCCAAGGCATCGACGTGGGTGACGGAGGCGTGGAGCTGACGGTGGTCAAGGGCGGCCGCCTCTACTCCAACTTCGTCTACCTCAACCCCCTCGACGCCAAGGCCCTCACCCTGCCCACCAAGCCTGCCGGCCTGCCCCACAACACCTACCTCCTCATCAACCTCCACCTCTACCTCTTCAAGTACGCCCCCCTATTATTTATCTCTTTTATTTTTATAATAATAATAAATTAATAAATTCAATTGTAAATGTTTGTTGCAGGCCGAGCGAGACCGTGCGTCAGGGCACGATCGAAATGAACGACTTCCAGCGCCGCTCAGTCTATGTGTCCCTCAACGAGAAGGTCATTTGCCGGCCCTTCGCGACCAAGTACGTTGCCTGCTCCTCTCTAGGCACCACCGCCGACAGTCTGCTCACCCTTGTGCTGTGCTGTGCTGACGCACAGGAACAAGGAAGCGGTCTTCCTCTCCGGCCTCAAGTTGGAGATCGATTTCCTGTACGCGGGGTCGAAGGGCGTCGACAGCGCCTTCCAGTCGGGCGAGATCACCGAGGTGAGTCCATCGCCGACGGCACCACACGGACCCACTTTTCCATCCATTTGTGGTGTCACTGACTAGTTTGTCGTCGTCCGCGCAGGCGCTGCTCACCCAATTCGAGAACCACTTCTTCACGCGCAACCAGCTGGTGGCGATGGACGTGAAGGGCACCACGCTCAAGTTCAAGGTCACCGATCTCGAGCTCGCGCGCCTGGGCAACGAGGACGCAGCCGCCGGCGTGTCCGCCAAGCATCAGGCCTCCACCGTGCGCGGCGTGCTGATGAAGCAGACCGGCATCGAGTGGTGCCCGTCATGGGGTCGGCGCTCAAGCTCGTGACCGTCTCCTCGGGCGGTGGCTCCTCTGCAGTGTACGTCTGTCCCTTCATCTCGCCAATCACAACATCACATCATCGTTGGGCTGTGGCTCACTCCGCTGTTCCGACAGTATGCCAGAGATCTTCAAGCCCAGCTGGTCGTTCGAACAGATCGGCATCGGCGGCCTCGACGACCAGCTGTCGGACATCTTCCGCCGCGCGTTCGCGCCACGCGTGCTTCCGCGCAATGTCACCCAGGAGCTCGGCATCGACCCCGTGCGAGGTGCCATGTCTCTTTTCTCACACTGCAAGCACAGCACATAACTCACATTCCATCACATTGTAGGCATTCTGTTGCACGGGGCGCCTGGGTGCGGTAAGACGCTGATCGCCAAGAAGCTGGCCAAGGTGCTCAAGAGCAAGAAGCCCATCTACGTCAAGGGTCCCGAGATCTTCGACCCGCTGGTGGGCCGCGCCGAAGAGAAGATCCGCGAGCTGTTCGCGCCGGCGCTGGCCGACTACCGCAAGTTGGGCGATGACAGCGAGCTGCACGTGGTGATCATGGACGAGATCGACTCCATCGCCGCCAAGCGCGGCATGCGCCAGGGCGGCACCGGCGTCGACGAGCGCGTGGTCACCCAGCTCCTCTCCATTCTCGATGGCGTCGAGGACATGAACAACATTCTGGTCATCGGCATGACGAACCGGATCGACATCATCGACCCGGCCATCCTGCGCCCCGGCCGCCTCGAGATCCACGTCGAGATCGGCCTGCCCGACGAGAAGGGCCGGCTGCAGATCCTCGAGATCCACACGACGCGCATGCGCGAGGCCAAGCGGCTGGCGGCGGACGTCGACCTCAAGACCCTCGCGCTGCAGACCAAGAACTTTACCGGCGCCGAGCTGTCGAGCCTGGTCAAGAACGCTTCCGGTACGTACCTCATCCCCCAGCGAGTGGGGCGAGTGGGGCGAGTGGGGCGAGTGGGGCGAGTGGGGCAAGAAAGTGGTGACTGATTTGTTTGTATTGTTTGAATGGAATGCAGCGTTTGCGTGTTCGCGCGAGATCAACGACCCGATCAACCAGGACCAGGGCATGGCCAAGGCCAACCCCATCGTCAACGCCAAGGACTTTGACAAGGCTTTCGACCAATCCGTACGGCAGTTTCGCTCACTTTGTTTTCGATGGCTGAGCTCGCTTGACGAGTCTGGTCCATTGGCACAGGAGCCCGCATTCGGCCGCTCGGGCCAGAGCTTCAAGAACTGCATGCGCAACGGGATCATCCACTTCAGTCCCGCCTTCACCGAAGTCCTGGAGGACGCGCGGCTCTTTGTCCAACAGGTGCGTTGCCTCGCTCGCTCGATCGGTGTGTCGTCGCTGCTTGACAGCTGACAACGTTGTCTCGCGCTGAATTGATGTGTGCGCGACTAGACGGTGACGAGCTCGCACACGAATCTGGTGTCGGTGCTCCTGGAGGGGGAGCCCGGGTGCGGCAAGACGGCGGTGGCGGCCATGCTGGCCCTGGAGAGCGGCTTTCCGTTCGTGAAGCTGCTGTCGCCGAAGGACTTCGTCACCTACAACGACGTGGCCCGATGCCAGCTCATCAACAGCACCTTCCTCGACGCCCACAAGTCGCCGCTCTCCGTCATCGTCATCGACGACATCGAGCGATTCCTCAGTACGAGAGAACACCTCCGTCTTTTCTTCACGTTGCAAACGCGAACGAGTTCGTTGGCGGCTTACTGTGCTCTTTTCGCTTTCGTCAGACTACTCGCCTGTGGGACACCGATACTCGAACGAGATCCTACAAGCGCTGCTGGTTCTCATCCGCAAGGAGCCGGCGAACGAGGTACAGCCCACATGCTCCATGCGAGGCCTCACAAGGCGGACAGTGCGACTTACGTCAGTCGAATCATTCCGTGTACACCAGAACAAGAAGCTGCTCATCCTGGGCACCACCAGCAAGCGCGATGTGCTTGAGGCCCTGGAGCTGAGCCAGATGTTCGATTCTGTTCTGCGCCTGCCCACCATCACCAAGGGCGAGGAGATGGCCCGCGTGCTGGCCGAAATCGAGGTACGCCTCACTCCTTCGAGCTCCGTAGGCTCACACACCACGCATACAGCGACTGACCATCGGCATTGTTGTGGGCACAACAGGGCTACTCGGAGGCGGACATCAAGGAGATCACGCGGCTGCACAAGGAGGGACAGGCGGTGCCCGTCCGCAAGCTGTTCCTTGTCGCCGAGCGCGCCCTGCAGGAGTCCCGGGGCAAGGCCAAGAGCGTGGTCGAGTGCTTCTTCAAGTGCATGCTCGACTACGGCCTGCGCCGCAATAGTCGACATTACAAATAGGGCTTTAGAAATCAGCTGCAACTATTAATAAAAATCTAAATAAAAATGTCAAATTGTTATTCGGTTGAGGGTCCGTCAGGGGTCGGGAATGACTTCTTCGGGAGGCAGCTCGGCCAGGTCGAGGGGCAGCTCCACGGTGCGGTACTTGGAGAACGACGACAGCGGCCGGTTGGGCACCAGGTACTCCCTCAACCCTGTGTATACGTCGGAGTTCAGCGTGAGATCTGGTGTTGCTTTGTTGGTTTGCGTGTGTCGTGTGGGGGCACGCACCGACTTGGCCGTCCTCGGTCCGGGTGAAGCCGTCGCCATGGAAGAGGTGGGTGAGGCCAATCTCGTGGTAGAGGAACGCCCTCGTGTGGCCCAATGTGCCGCTTGACTCCAGATACCTGCGGTGGTGTCGACGCCGATGTCCATGGCCGTATCGACATGAGCCAGCGCAATGCTTGTTTGGGGGCATAGAGGTGGGGGGGGTGTGGTACCTCTCGAGGGTCATGTAGTGGTGGTGGTCCCGGCCCTCGAGAAACGAAGCGCAGATGTCGAACTCGGTGAAGCGCTCCTGCACTTCCTCCAGCGTGTACTTTGGCAACAGCTGCGAAGTGGGAATAGAAACGGCCGGGACAGACATAAGATCAGATCAGGATGAGGATTAGGAGCAGTGCGATTAGGAGCAGCGCAAGTGCGGGTTGGTGACGATGTCAGGACAAGGCCGACGAATGGAGCACACGTACGTGGATGTGGGGCGCCACTTTGGGCCAGGCCTCGGGGAACGTGTCGCGGACGAGCTCAAACACCCCGTCCCACGTGGCCTGCCTGGCCTGCACCTCGGGGAACAGGCACAGCCTGAACCTATAGCCCTCTTTTTCCAAAAACAAAAGCAAAAGCAAAAAAAACACCACACGCAACGCATAGTCCGGGTCAGCCCCATGCAAGTCACGTAGGCCAACAGCTGAGGAGAGAAAGGTGGTGTACCATCGAGGGTGCGGCGGAGCCAGGGCGTGTCCTTGCCGATGGCCAGCATGATGTCCCGCGGACTCTTCCCACACAACCGCTCGAGGCCGTCCGGCCCCACCACCCACGACAACCTGGTGGAAACGACATGAGAGCCGGGAGTGGGCCAAGAAGTTTGAACAAGCGCGCCCAATCCCAAGTCTGAAACACGCTATGATCATAGTAGTGGTGGTGGTGGTGGTTGTACCGTTTGTTGGGTTCGTCGCTGAGAAGGCGGAAGTCGTCTTCGGTCCGGCCCTTCGTGACGCGTCCGCAGATGCCGCGCACGCGTCGTCGCCCGAGCGGCTCCCGCCTCTCGAACAGCTCGGCCAACTCGTCGATGTCCGTCACCCACTCCACCTCTTCTTCCTCGCTGTCCACCTCTTCGTGTTGTTGTTGTTGTGGTCGTGGGCCGTGGTAAGGCGCCTTTCGCTCCACGAGGGTGGACGTCGAGGTGGTGCTGGTCCGCTGATAATCACCACCACCATCGGCATTCTGGGATTCCACCGTGTGCGTGGTGGTGCGCTTCTGTCGCGTGGTGGTAGTGGCGGTGGAGCTGCTGCTGGACGTGGAGGTGCTGGTGCTGGTGGTCAGCGTGGTGTCCACCCTGGTGCTCGCGTTTCCCGTCGTGTCGTTTTCGAGAACCATCCTGGTGGTCGTGTGTGCCTTGCGCTCGCCCTTGTGGTCAGATGTCGAATGGTGGTGCTGTGTGATGTGCCTGGGGTCTTGTTGTTTCTGCATGTACCGAACTTCACGGGTCTCGCTCTGCACGCCAGTTACAGGGAGGCGGAGGCCGCGAGTCGTGCGAGCGCTCTCGCGTTTCTGTTCACCAGTTGCCAAAAATTTCGGTGGACTTAGTTGGTGGTCGCCAGCTCGTTCGCGGTGTGGGTTGTCCTGCGTTTGGCATCTTGTGACAAAAGAAAAAGGCGAAGGAAAGAAAACGAACATGGAACAGAGAAATTAAGTTTCCTTTCTTTTCTTTGGGGAAAACAAAAGTGCCTTGACGCACCGGTGTAGCGAACGCACACCGATCGCGGCCAACCAACTCGGCACATTGAT